TTTACATTCTGATCCAACCTGTTGTGGCTACAGCTTCTGTTTGTTTGTCTGCATTACTTTCAGGTTCTGATATTTTCTGTTTGTATGTGTATCCTGTTGCTCCTGGTCACAACTCTATCTGTCCCTGTCTTTCTGCCGTGTAAAAGCTCTCTGTCTGTTCCTGTAGGTCTGTGTTAAGTTGTCTAGCTAGGCAATGTTGTGGGTCCATCTATACCTTTAACGGCTCAAGCAAAGACCAGGCACACTGGTCTTTGCTTGAGACCGGTGAGAGCCACTTAAGTTTAGCTGACAATGCAGTATACTGTCCCTTGTGCCTCCCCTGATTGTGTACCTGCTCTTCTGCGTGTCTGCACTCTGCTCAGATTTATGCTCCTGCAGTGCCCTGGATTTCTGCCATTTTCCTGTTATCAGGTCACTTTACCCCAGGAGTTGTCAAACCCCTAGACACAGAAAACTGCACCTACTGCCCATGACAAATATTATGTGTGTGTCTTCATCTGTATTTCAGCTGGTTATCACTAATACGTAACTGGTCAAATGTATGCCTTTTATTTTTCAATTAACCTGTCCATAAACAAATGCAAGAGGATGGTTATTCTATCTGGTATTACACAAGTGGGTCCAAGTAACACCAGGCCAGTAAACAACCGGTTTGTTTTTTAACATATTATTTGCCAAAAAGTTCAATTGTTAATCAGTTTTCTATTCTGGCATCAGATTAACTTAATGATTTGTGGTTTTCAAAGTTGTTCTGTATGTCTGACTCATATTTGCTTAAACATTTTTTACTCCACCAAGGTAAATAGGTTGTTAATTACATATCTTATTTGTTAAAAGATGTATTCTTTTGGTTTATTTTTACTATGGTTATGTACTTAATATCTGTAAAATCTACACCATTTTTCGTGGTCAATGTTTATTTGGTGTCCAAATGCATAAGTCATTCAGGTTTTTTTTCCCTACCATATAAGACTTTAGTGGTCTGAAATAATCATTAAGTATTCAGTGTAAAATAAAACAGAACACCCAGCAATATAGTGGTGTTTGGAAAGAAATATCTCACTGGCTGTTAAATACAGAAGCAAGACATATTTAAATACTTGGAGATAAGAGCTCCTTGCAAAAATTGGCTCTGCAGTTCCAGTGAACTCATAAGCATGATAAATATATGTTTTATTTAATCGTCTAGTTTCCCCCTTAAAATTTTAAGTGGGTATTTATTAGTATTCTGAATTAAAAGGAAAACATGCATCTTTTTTATTGAGTTTAGAAACTGTCTATTATGATGATGTTTTTTTTAATGTTAAATTATAAATGGTAAGATTGTTCTCCAGGGTTGTTGTAGTTACTGAATCTCTCCATTCAGGAGAGAGAGTTTGTGGATTAATCTGTTTGCCTCAGAATGCTCTAATCAAAGGCTATTTGGCACATTATCACTATCAGTTGATAACTTACATTATGTTGCACCTAAATTAATAGCTTGATATGCTTGACCTAGGGGTTATTCCCTTAGATGTGCCAGATTTGACATCCTGCCTTAGTATAAATACTTTAAGTGGACCATTCCAGGTACAGTTTTGGTACTCTTAGACTTAGCCCATCTCTTACGAAGAATAAACAATGTTAATAAATCTGCCTGCCCTTCACCATTCACATGTTGCCCAGATTTGCTGCAAGGTTTCTCCGTGATTTAGCTGGCATTTGGACCCACAAAGATTCATCTTCTCTGACCAGGGCAACAATCGCTGATCACTGTCTCAGATTTTCCAACACATTTGGTAATTCCTTTGAATAGTATTGACTTTTTATCACACAAGTGCTTAATAACCTTTAGGAATGAACCCATACATTTTCCAATGTTCTCAGTTGATGTTAAAATCCCATCATATCATAAAGTGTATGTCCAATGTAAGCTAAGATAGTAATCGATGATTGATCAGCATTTCTATTTGCTAGTGGAAGAAAACAAGGGTAGACTAAACAGTTGGTAGAACTCTAGTGAGGTGACACGGGTTAAGGTTACAGTATCTTAAGTTACTAATGATTATTATGTTAATGGTACACCTAAGAAAAGAGTTTAACACAGAGTGAGTTTTGTTGTTTTGTTCTGAATTAAAGTTTAAAATATGATGTAATATACTTAAAAACTAGCATATAAACAATGTGTTGGGTTAAAATTGCTGTTACAGTTAAATACAGAAGACTAAAACCACTAACATTATTAGTGATTTTGTAAATGTAAAATGTCCTAAGAGAAAGAAGGTGGCTCTACAACATCCATAACTTATGCTACCTCTTGTTGTCTCTCACTACTTTACTTGCAGGCATCGTAAAATAGTACAATTAGAAATTAATTACAAGGGGATTCTGTCTGAAGCTTTTAATTAGGTCATCTATTATGCACTTTTAAGGTTTAAGGAAACCTTTGCCTCGGGCACCTAGTCCTCAGATCTTAACACATATCAGTCACTTTTTTTGGTTTTATTGGCAATGGTAATAAATAGGCACATACCTTTTGAATATGGGTTTCAGACTGAGATTGAAGCAGACATTTAGCACATACATATTACCACGTAGCATAATATATTGATAGCAAGGTCTACCAACATTTAATAAAATGTTGAGATAGAGTATGTTTGGTTCACAAAGTATTTCTTTAAATTCACCTAGTATTATAGTGGAATTGTGTTCTCAATTATGTTGTTGTATAATTTGTATTCCTTAAATAGGTATTGTAGTGTTTAGCATTTGATGTGGTATTTAATGTAATAGAAATGGGTAAGGTGAGGTTAGGTTCCCTAGTCATATTTGCTGTGAAGTAAATGTGTGCTATATTACAAGAACATTAATAGAGAAATAAGAAATAGAATGGGACCCCTTGCATGCTCTACAATGCATTACTCATTAGCAAGTTATCACCGCATCAAGTGTTTTTAGTATCTTACCTAGTCATCTAGTCAGAGCACATTTATTAGGTAGTTAATGCACCTCAATTAAAAAAGATAATCTGAAAACCAGTTATCTACACAGCACAAAAATACATATATATGTAAACAGCACAAAAAGATATATATAGATAAAGATCTATATAGATATAGATCTATATCTATATAGATCTATATAAATATAGATCTATATACATATATATGAGTCACTTACAGTCACTGTAGGTAGTATTACTAAGAAATTGACAAATACTGTAAATGTCACAGTGTCAGGAAGTCTGAGTGTGTCTTAACTTTGTCATTGAATGTGTCTGCAATGTACCATAAATCTCGAAGTTCTGAAATGAGTTCCAAACGCATTAACACACAGTCTGGATTCTCAGACCACAGCAAATAATAATGGAATTGTGAATGTCATCAATTCTAATGCTGAGACTGGAACATTGATCCTAGGATGAATTCCTTTAAATACACCTGCAGTGCATTGGTGTTAGCACAGAATCCCAACTAGCAAACAGCTCCAGTTTATGTTAGCCAATCCCTAGATAATGAGAATGACAATGCCATTTTAACATCAGCATCAGAGCAGCTTGTACTGGTCGCTTCGACCAAAACTATTCCTTTATAAAATTGTACCATCTTGCCAAGTGTCAGATTGACAACAAAACACAACAATGTTTACAATAGTGCTACAGGAACATGGTATAAATGTATCTAATATACTGACATTCCAAGCTTGTTAAGATTATTCATGAGCTTTTTATTAATGCAGTGTTTGTAACATTCTCTAGTGTTTGTAGTGTACTTGTGGATGATCAATTCACTATCAATTGGGTTGAAATACAGCTATATCTGTTCCAAAAATACTTTACTGGTTATTATTGTCTTTGCCCTTTATTTTTGAAGTGGCATTATTGTGTTTTAATAGGTTATATATAAAAATCCTTAAAACTATTTGAGATTGCCAAACCTTTCCTTGAGTTCACATTGACTTTTTAACAGTCTAAAAGTTTAAAAGTCGAATCCTCACATTTTATACTTTTAAACTTGATCACAGTGTTTTCAGATATGATATACTCAGATTCAGATGTAAAAAAAAATTAAAAATGTATAGTTGCATACATTGCCGTACAATGACTAAGCAAAAAACGTTCGCATACCTCAGTATGTTCATTGCACTTTGCAGAAACACTTTATTGCACATTTCCAAACAACTAGCATGAACCAGCCATTAACTTTTTTTTTTTTTCTTACACTTACTGTTTACTCATAAACATCAGTGACTCTTTTAGATCCTACTACCTTTCTTAATTTTCCTATTTTAATAATAATTTGTTACTTTTCCATGAAATATATTTTGGAGATATTTGTGGCTTTATAGGCATAGCATAATTCTCATAACAAATAACTGATTCATTTAGCAGCATGACTCTTGCTAACAGTTGCAATACTCTAAAATCCACCTGCCAATGTCCCTTCCTCTCAGTGCACTCGGTTACTGCAGTTGTTTCATCCGCCATCAGCGGTGTCTTCCTTTCTTGTTATTTGATTATTTTCCTGTTTCGTGTACATTCTATTGTTAAAGTAGTCAATCTCCTCATCCACCGTAATCAACTTTTCAGATGTCTCTTCACATAATACCAGTTCTATATTTCTAACATTGCACTCAGTGAAGATCAGGCAAGTATATCTTTCACAAATTGTGCACAGCATGAAATCTATTGGAGGGATCTCAACATATAAATATTCTTTCTTTTGAATCACTTATCAACACAAGCTGCAGTTAACTAATGGTTACCAGATTTAAAGTCAGAATTAGCAAACTTATTGCAACCAGTCTGCAGTGCATTGGCTAAAATGATACATTGGTAAATCAATGCCAAATGTCTGTCCATGGGAATAGAACACAAGCCTGATTTATCTCGGATTATGCACATAATGTAGGGTGGATCAAGACCAGATTCACAGTATCATTATATAATTATCATTCATCGTCTGTGTATTTGCAGCCATACTTTAGAGCACAATAGTTAATGAAACGAGACATTTACTTACTGTAGCTGTTGTTTGGGTCCTGTGTACCCTTCACATTACCACGTTTATCAATCCACAGATACCACTGCGTTCGACAAAAAAGTTTTCTTATTCTAACATCCCCACCCTCCATATAATCATAACTTCTGGTATGCCGCTCAGGGCTGGAACAGTTCACATTTGCAGCCATTTGCTCTGGAGTCATGTCATTACAGGCTAGTGAGAGCGTGCCTAGTAAAAAGATAATGTATAGATATGGTATGTAGAGCAAAGTTGGCAGGATCCAAGTTAGTATCCATTTGCGCATTATAGTGCAGTGATCTGGGTTTTCATGAACATCATAATGAAACTTAAATCTCCGGTGGATCTGTGTTTCTAGGTCCAGGACCTGACTGCACACTTTGTGGTTAATGCAGATGAAATGACTCGGATACTTCCAGACTTGAGTTATATTGTCTTGTGATTATGCCATAAACCTTGGATGTCTCTATGCTGTTCTGTCAAACTAGTATCCTCAGAAGATCCAGATACGCTGATCTTGAAAGTCGTAATAATGAAGGCTACTCACACTTTCTTTTGTATACAATTCCAACAGACCTGTAAAGACATCATGAAGTTTATATCTAATATCTGCATTATTACTCTTGACAGCTAGTGCAGTGTCTGAATTTAGATGCTGACCACTGTTTTCTGCAAGTCTTCTTTAATCTAACATGCTTGAAAATATGTTCTTAGCATTAAAAGTGTACCAAATACATAAAAATATGTTTCAATGATTGAGTTTTGGTTGATTTACTGCTAACATCCTTAAATTCTACATTGACAGCATAGTAAAACACAGTGAGGGGACACTGTTTTAGAAGCATGCTTTATGGACAGCAGCATGCTGAGCTGTCAGAAAATGCTAGACTACTAATACACTCTGTTCCAGAGGCATTCACTTAGAAGACCTCCTAAAACTGGTAACAGCTGTCAGCTAAACTAGTACCTATCTCTTAGAATGCAAAACTGAAATAAAAACCCTACAGAACTAGTACACCAATTGTTCTCTAAAAAGCAGAAGTAACTTACTTGCTCTCGATGATAACAGCTGGATATGCTTGTATTCCATCTCTGTTGCCTGCTCTTTGCAACATGAGATTCTGTAGCAGCAAACTATTTCTCAACTCAGAAAAACTCCAGCACAATCTTAATTGTTTCCATAAATCAACACGCAAGAGGGGTCTTCTGTGTGTGTGTGTGTGTGTGTGTGTGTGTGTTGAGCCTGTTGTTGTTCAATGCTTTTCGATAAATACCTTTTGCTGACCTCACTTGGAAGCAATTAGATCTAACCACTCAGCAGCTGAAAGCACGAACAAGAAAGTTGAGTGATTCTTAGTGATCATCAGAGGGAGCTATGAGCATGTTTTATGCTCTCTTTACAAGGAGGGAGCTGCAGCAGATTTCTGGGAAGGCAGATTAAAGAATGCTCATTTCATGGCATACATACTCAGAAAGCAAAATAATTCTTATAAAATCAGTCAAAAGTTGTTAGACATTTAATACTTTTAAACATTATCAATTATCTTTTACTTTCTGCACATCCATTTTTGTGTTTTTTATTCAAATCTTTATAAAGCTGTTGATAAAAATACTGCTAAATGTTGTTATAGACAGAAAGTACAGTACAGTTTTTGGAATAAAATATGTTTGTCTTTTACTGCAGAAGGATCCTTGTAGCTATATGCACTATATGGTATGGATAGCATAAAGTATCCTTGTCTATATTTAAAGACTGTGCATGGAGTGTGGAATTATAATTAGAGTAGTCGTAGGAGTTTCAGAGATTAAGAACATTCCCTGGGTAAACCTGGTTCAAATCACAGTATCAGCTTTTCCTCTGTTTTTGTCTGTCGTTGCACATAGTAGCATCTCAGAAAGGAAATTGAGATTGCAAGTAACATAAGAAACATTTTTATATCACTACAAATAGTACAGTTCTACTACTGGGTTGTTGTTGTTTTTTTGCTTTCAAGTTTTTTTTATCCAGGTGGCCATTTATGTACTTAATTAACCTAATATTATTAATACACATTGAGGCAGTGTACATTTTTTGTATCTGTGAGCTATTTTTTACTTTTTGATGCAGATACTAATTCAAATACTACTTTTTCTACTGAATAATTATTCTTTAAAAGCAAAACAATATGATTGCTTTATGCGATTCTTTTAAAGGATTGAAGCACCTTAGACTGAGAGCTGATCCCAGCGTTTTCAGTGTACTTAAACATGTATATTGAATATTTATTAAAAGGCACAGTGCAATGTATTTCACCTACCAACATTTTAGGCAGTATTTGCAGGAGATTACTATATCTGTTAGATTAGATGCAAAAATGAAAATACAATGATCACTGAATTGTGGTCTAGTAAAAAGTAGGTTTATGCATCAATATGAAACAATAATCCATGTAGTCGCGGTAAACATAATTACCCCCTAATTAAAATCCAACAACCTAACCATTTCTAATTATAAACCCTCTACACATAAAGCCTATGCATAATGACAAGAGCCAGCAGCCACAGCTCTTGAAAACTCCCACAGTACTTGTCTCTGCAATTTGATATAGACATAAGATAGCAGCCAGTGGTTTGTAGAATTTTCCAAGAACCCTTCAAGATGGCTGTTTTAGTTAATTGCTAGGTCACCCTTTGTCTGTCTTCAAATAAAGATGTTGGGAGAAAGATTTTGATCTTTATGGGTAGGTATACAACCTTACTGATGTCTCGTGATTACATCACTGGTTAAAAGTATTTTACTCTGTCTAGGAAAATAAATTGAGACATTGTGCACAACCATTCATTAGTTGATGCCCCCTTCATTTTCCTATCATTATATGCAGTAATAAAGTAACAGTGGGATTATACTGCAGTTGTCAAAATGTCACCCCAACAAAATACACTAGACAGATTACCTGCTCCTTTTATATTATGTGTACAAGAGAAGATGTACAATCTAAGCTGTTCACATTTCCTCTTTGAGCCAAACTCTCATTTTTCAATTCTTTGTTTTCTCAATTTTCAAGCAGTCACCCATAGCACCTGGACCACCCAGGGTCAACACTGTTCTTGCAAAGGGCTTCTTGAAACAAACTACGATGATAGGTTATAGGCACTGAAAGTGGATACAAGCACATTCACTTTGTGTTGTTTTGTTAATATAATATGGGATACTCGATGCCTTTTGCTTAGGTATTTTAACCCCTGCAGTTCTGTGACAGTATGGTATTGTTAAACTTCTTGTGTATGTAGAACATGCAACTAAAAGCAACACATGAGGTTCTCTGAAATTCATGGGGGTGCACACAACAGTCCCATATTATCTAGTGCTAACACTTGCAGTCGTCTTGATATCACAAACTTATTGTATCAGTCTGCATGTGGCCACCCTTAGGCATAAAATATAATTTCATTTTCTAATAGATTTTTTAAAACCAGTATCCCCTAAACACTAGTGGCAAAATTGTGCATTTTTTACCATAATTTCTGCCCTGCCTTTCACTGATTATTTTGGATTTCAGAAGCTACCCAAAAGAAGTGCTTACACTTTTTTAACATCTGCTATAGATTATTGTAATTAAAGATTCCTCTGGTCTACACCAAAACCTTTTAGTTTATAAAGGCAAAGAAAATGATATTCCAGGTATAATGTATTAACTTTATTTCTAAGGCCCCATTCACACTGTCCACTTGCGTTTTTATGCAGATATCTATCTGGAAATCTGTCAGGCTAGATGCTTTTTTCTGCTTCTAGATGCTTAACATGACACGCATTTACAGTCATATAATTTTGGATGCATCTGTCCTTTGTCCAATTAAACAGTTCATTGAAGTAACCAATGAGATTTCAGCAAAAACATGCGTTTTAGTTTAAAAACTAAAATTGTTTTCTGGAGGTACCTGACTTCTATTTATCCTAGATGCAGCTAAAATGACTGCTTCTAAAAGCATCTAAATGCAAGGTATGAATAGACCCATTGGAAATCATTAGATGCATTTATATGCTTTTAGAAAACTATTAAAATAAAAGCACGTAATCGCACCCTAGTGTGAATGTGGCCTAAATCTAAAGAAGGGATGGCTGATGCAAATCAGCCTGCATAAAATGGCCCTGGAGAGGCATGACAGGAAATAATGTCTAGAAAAACCCAATCTTTGAGGCGGTCATTGAAACAGTTGTCTCCATGCAAAAAGTTAACCGAGTTCCAGTTTAAACTGTCAAATTTTACCCTCACATTTCTCACAAATTAACACCAGGACAGAATAAATTGTGGCTGAAGCTTCAACTTACTGTCCAGTTGAGGTCACAGAAATAAATATTTAGTCAGAAAGACTACTAATAGCCTTTAATTTCATAAATTCTCATACAGTATACCTTCCTGCTATAGTAGTTGTGCAGTGTGTCTAAATATGACTTACCAGTCCAATAGGCACCAGACCACTCAGTTCAGCGCACTCTGACTAACCTGGTCAAACACACTCCTTTGTTTCATTGGAGTGCAAGTGTGTGTGACAATGCCTGTTATGAGAAGTGTTGCCTTTACTCATCAATACCACTAGGAAGCAGCATTTTTATTGAGGTAAAAAGTTATTTTAGGGTATTTCCAAATGAAAATCAGTAAAAATTATAACATATGGTGGTAAAGGACTATTAAGAGACAAAAAGGTGTAAGGTTTCAATTTGGCTTTAATATCCAACAAAAGATCTAACCTGTTGCTGAACTTACCAATGCCTGCATTGTACTAAGGTATATCTACTGTCTTATTGTGTTCTGTAAGATGAGCAAAAATGTAACTCAAAGCATATACTTTTAATTGTATTCATCACAATAGTGCAAACTACATAGCAAGTCTGCATACAAGGACCTGAAAATGTTTGTTCTTTGAAAATATTCAGGTTTATTACAGGTATACAACACCAAATATTTGCATCTTGCAGTAGTTTGCTTTATTTTATGTAATTGAAATTTTCATTGCCCCTATAGTCAGATGGCAGTCAAAGTGGATAGGCAGATGTAATTAAGAGAGCTAACTTGGCAGCTACCAAGTTTTTTTATGCTGTCCACGGCTGCCCTACCATACAGTTAATGGGGGCCAAGGAACCCACATGACAGGGGGCAGGAATGGCTGATAGCCACATGCTACCCATTACCTTTTTTTTTTGCTAAAGGTGCTGACCCAATTGGCAGGGGGAGGTAGAAGGGAAGGATAGTACGTGTAACTGGGGAGGGAGGCACTTAAGAAAACCGGCATCTGCAAAGCACTTTTTCATTGTAAGGTAAGGTCAGTTTAACTTTATAAAAATCACTTATGCCATCATGCCACATGTACACATGACAGAGTAGTTTTCAGAGCAAAGCCTAGTATACAATTAGCACTTTGAAGAGGTCAGACCCCAGTATCCTTATCAAAGGCAACTGAAAGCTAATTACCAATAGCTTAGTTCATACCCAAGTTATGAATAATCAAATGATTTGGAAAAACATTTTTTTTTAGTTTAAGCCACTGAAAGGCATTTACCACAATTAAAGCCACCCTGTCACTAGG